CAGCTGCGCCATGTGACCGGGCCTCGCCGGGGGAGCCTATGACCACTCCCAGGAGAGACCTGGAGGCAGCTGGTGCCCTAGGAGAGGCTCCCAGGCTGGGAGGGGACTTAGAGGGGTGCACCGGAATGCGGGTTAAAGGAAATCGGGGGATCCGATTTAAAACTGAAAGGACTGAGTGCCTGACTGGAGAAGCACTTTGTAGGGCGGCAGCCGCAGGGGCTCAGTGCTGGCCGGGGGACCCCTGACAGGACAGGGGCCCTGAGACAGGTCCCAGACAGCGCAGGCGGGAGGGAGCGGCGCCAAGGGGCAGTTAAGCCGCGCCCGCGGAGGGAGGGCCGGGAACTGCAGTGACCAGCGCGGCGGTCAGTGCGCCTCAAGCCGTGGCGCGCACGTGTACCTGTGGCAAACGGACAGAACGAACCGTGGCCCAGGTAAGTGGAATTCATGGCGCCCTCGCCTTTCTCCTGCCCCAAACAGAAACCCGTGTCCCCCAGGCAATGCTGGCCGAGCCCACCCAGCGCAGCTCTTGCACCCACAGATGCGGCCCGCCCGGGGGTCACGCCCCGCCTCCTCACGGCGGCGCGGCAGCCCTCATCCTCCTGTCCTTGCAAACTCTCGGGGCGCGGGGCGCTGCTGCCCCGGGCGCCTGCGGCTGGACGCGGGCTGTGTCCAGGCTGTGGCAATTCTGCCCTGATGACTAGGCAGTGGCTGTTCACCTGGGCTCGGGAGGCAATGGAAGCCGAGCACCCCTCTTTCCTGGCCCTTTCGAGTCTCTGGAGGAAGTGGGGTTTCCTTTCCTTTTTTTTTGTGGGGTTTCTTTTACTCTACAAAAAAGACCCTGGGTTGAGGAGCCTGGATTTGACTGGGAGTAAAAGAAAACCTCCCACGAGCGGGCTCTTGGCCGCAGGTCAGTAACCCAGGGGCTGGCAGCAGTCTGTTCCGACTGCCCCCCGCACCTGCTTTTTTCCTTTACAAATGTGGTCAAGTCCCAAGAGGTGTTTTTTTAAAGCAGTAACTGTGTTTCTGTCA